TGAGTCGGCTGATAGAGTCTGTGTGCTCGGCTGTGGCTGTACCATCCCACTCACCTTCGTCGATTATTAGCTGAGATTTCTGTTCTGCAAATCTTGATTCTACTCGCTCCCACAAGCTATGCTCCTATACAGTTACACACATGTACAGAAGACTTTTCTATAAGCAGCCGAAGTACTCTTTCGGATAAGCGTTATGATATGCCAGCTTGAGCACACTTGCCGTAGAAGGGACGAATATGCGTAGGCTCACCCACGAGGTGCTCTTCACAGTATCGGTTTTTCGCACCTACACCCACAGAGAAAGTAGATTAATATCAACAACTCTTTATCAGTCACGACTTTACTTTCCCTGGCCATGACCGCCGCAACCAGGATCGAGTCGGGAGACTAGTACGTAATGATCTTAGGCATTCGCGCCTTTCTCCTTGGTCTCAGAGGGGTGACCTCGTCTAGGCCGCTCTTCCTTGACCTGGATGAGGTCGTCTTACAGGGCTTCTCTCTTTTTCCAATGCCGTCGAAGACGGCTGGTTCCTCACCAGGGCGGATTTGGCGCTTGAGTTGCAGCAACCCGGGCAAGACGGGCAAGACCGAAAACGATCTCAAAACTGCTCTTGCCTATCAACTCCGGTTTGGCATCCGATCGGCGCATCACCATGGCTATAAAATCTTTCCAGCGTCGGAGCATAAGGAAGGGAAATTGGCGACAGGAAATTGGTATTTGGCATTTGGGGCATTCTTGGAGGATCTTGGCGGTCAACGAGGTGATCCCTGAGATCCAGAAATCCTTCCTGACTCGTCATCGAGTTCATCGACAGTGATCATGTGCTCCCACATCGTGATAGCTGATAATCACTCTAGTGGCTCCTTGCACGCCCTTTTCAACATCCGTGGGACTCGCTATGAGCTTCTTAGGAAGCTGCGTTCTATCCCCGGGAATTTAGGAGCTACGAGCAGACCATCTCGAACTTGAGATATTTCAGCTCGCCATCGAAACCCGAACAGAGCGGACAGAAACCCGGGTTTGAACAACCACTGAATGCCTTTGCCAAACTGATCAATTATTTTTGGTTGATGTGGTAGGATTGTATGCAGAACCCGCCCAGATAGCATAGTATTAGTGGTCAGCTCCTGATGGGCAATATTATTGCTGATAAGAAATCATTCTTCATTTCTACATTAGTAGGCAGTACCACGGGATAGGCCTTGTTTGAAGTCACGAAGTCGGCGCCCCCGAGTGAAGGTGTCGAAATTTCGTTGAGCCATATGGTTGAGGTCCTTTCACACAACATCTTTGGTTGTTAGCTCCGACCTTGCTGCAAATCTGGTTTCGAAACGAGTTGAAGCATTTTCGTTCGAACGTGTCATTCTACATTACCTGACTAAGAAGAATACTTCGCTCAAACGAGAAGGTATCTAAGTTTTCACCTAATTGTGAACCTTACCGTCCTGTGTAGTCGCGTGACGGATGGGAATCACCTTGTTCAAGAGAATGAAGAAGAATGGACTGGAACCCGGTAATTGCGTGTTTTGCCGAAATCTCAGGCCGTCGAATATACTCTCTGATCGCTTGTTGAATGTAGTGATCGGAGAACAGGTCGGT